CGCTCTCCCCCCTCAAAACCCTCTTCTTCGCCGCCGCCGCCTCCTCCGCTCTCCCCTCTTTTCCGCCGCCCAAAGATCGCCGCCGCCGCCGCTCAGAAATCAAAGTGAGTCTTTTATCTACAATTTCATAGCATAATCAGTCTATTTTATCTATTTTCATATGAGCTCTCTTCTCATATTATTTATTTTCATTCATCATTGCTTAAACTTTCATACCTTATTTCTTTATTAGGACTAGTACGATGCTTATGAGGAAAAAGATAATACATTCTACTAATCCTAATAAATGACAGATAATAATCTCATGTGAGTGTAGCATCTAACCTTTTCCCTGCGATCACAACTGTCTAGGCTTGCCCTTCGTAGTATATTATCATTTGTAGGTTTGATCAGCTTGCTATGAATGAACTAAGACCTTCTGCTCCACTAAGCCTGAAGCATATAGAAGCGAAAACTATGAGTGGAAATACGTACATAAACAATTTCATTGATTGGTTAGGTACTTGGTTTGAAATTTATCTTTGTTGCTTCTTTTTTGATGCATCGACCTATGGCCTACATGGATAGATTTGAATTTAATCATGGTGAATCTCGCCAATTAATGTATTAAGAAAATTTGCCATTTTGGAAGGTTTCAGTTTTTGACTCTTAATTGAAGGGGGAAAATTTACTTATTGAATGAATAACTACTAAGGCTTTGGATTTGGTTTTGACCTCAAACTGATATCTTTTCTTGTTTTCCCTTATCGTACAAATGCGAATACGAATCCTATCAGAACCATCACCGTAGGTTTTGGGCGGTTTACACCATTTACAAAATATCTAAAATTTCCGAAATAACCCTCACCCGCGAATGATATAGATCATCATATTATATGCATGCAGGTGCTCTAATAAAATCTGTACTCCACAAATTCCTTTCAAATGGCCAAAATTTTCACTTACAGGAAAACATAGACTTCCACACCGCAAGTTGCATTCACTATATCTGAATGTTGCAAGTTGGTTGGTTTAGAATAAAAGACTGCAAGTAGGTTTCAGACATTAATTTTGAATTGAATTAATAGAGTTTAATAAGGGTATGCATGTATTTAAATTAGGAGTGATTTTAAAAATACAGGGTGTGGAGCCATATGGGGTTTTTCTGTAAGTTATTGTGAAGTCTACCAAAACTGGGGCAATCCTGGAAAGTGATGGCTTAATCCATATCACACTTTGATGGCTAATTAAAGTGCGGCTTTAAATGATGTCTTTGTGTCAGTAAGCATTTTCTTGGATTGGACAAAGGATAGAAAGTTTCTGAGGCTGGGAGTTTCTTGTAGTTGCAATTAATTGCTACGTTTTAAGACCTTCCCTTTGTGTCTGCTTGGTTGTAAAACACAAAAATTGAAAATTTGAGGTTTTATTAATTTCAATTCAGCTTCCCGTCTGTAAGTTATCTTTTTTAGTATCCAGGTTAAGTTGTTCAGAGAATATCTAGTCAACTAGAAAAATAGATACATGATATACATGATGAATACCGCGCCGAGAAAATAGCAGTAGTATTGTTATCTGAGTCAAGGAGTGAGCCTGAAAGCGATCTTACTTGTGAGAGATTAAGCCTAATACTTGATGAAATTCCTGCAAGAGAAATACGTACATAAACATTTCATAGATAACAAATTCACCATAGAAACCTAGTGAAAATTTCATACACATAATAAATATTTGATGCACTAGGCATGTTTCACATTTATGGAAATTGTGATTAAATTTAAACAAGTAAATAAAATTTCATATAGTTTTTATAATTTTCTGAAAATTAGTGCAAGCACACTTAATTTATGAGTTATTATCACTAACTCTGTCTTGGTTAGGTTATCATGGCCCGTGACTACATCAGGGTTAAGGACTGGATGTATGTGAATCGTGAAAAACGCACAAAGGCTGAGTTCATTGAAGGAGTTGCTTCTTTTATGAACTTTGTACGTGAACACGATAAGATCCAACATGGCATGATTCTTTGTCCGTGTAGCCATTGCGGGAATACTTTGTATCGTAAAGAAGAAGATGTAGAACTTCACATTGTTAAGTATGGTTTTATTAGAGGTTATACAACTTGGGTATATCACGGAGAAATTCTAACTCCCATTAATGCCGAAGAAGAAGAAGAAGAACCCAAGTTTGCCGCGATGACCAAAGTTTTAGATGAGGTACATGGAGGGCATCACGGCGGTTATGAGAGAGACTTGGGTCATGGTGTCAGTAGACATTATTTGAAGACTTCCTCTACTCCGATATTTGCCACTCTTCCTGATGTCCTTCGCGAGATGGCCGAGCTTAAGTCCAAGATGGAACGACTTACCCAACTAGTACGTATGCAAAAAATCATAAAAAATATATATGCCTTACATTCCTCCATGTGTGTCTGTCTGCTTTGTGTGTGCATGTGTTTGTGCGCGTGTGTTTGTGCATGTGCATGGTTCTTTTGTGTGTGTGTATAATAGTAAATGCAGATGACTTCCATTGCTTTTCCAAAATGTATTATAATAAGAATTCTCACCATTAATTGATTAGAATTCTCATTCAGGTCAACATTAATTGATTTACACTGGATTTTAATTGCACTTGGGATATCAAATATAATTTCATATTACATTTAGGACATTGAATAGATTGTATAAGCCATCTATCAATGAATCAAATGGATATGAAGTCAAATGGTATCGCTAATTTGTGGAATGTAGAATTGGACCAAAGTCCCTGGATGAAGGACCAAGGTTTTGAGAATAGAAAGGTCATTTGATTAGGACACAGCTATATTGTTGTGACCACTGTTTACTATTGTACTCGAACTGCATTTGATTAGGGTCATTTGATTTTAATCGCAACCTCTGATCAGATTGACTCTTGCAGGCTAATAAGCTGAATGACATACTGTGATGAGTTTTTCTAGTCGAAACTTGGTGAGCTTGGAATCAGTTTTTTCTAGTCGAAACTTGGTGAGCTTGGAATCAAAGCTGGTTTTCCTCTTCTGACAATGACACTTGATATCAACTTGAGCTGAACTCTTAAGAGAGCCTAGATTGTTCAAGTAGAGCAAATATTGATTGTGGATATACCTTCCTGTAATATTGTTACTTTGATCTCTACTACCCCTCTAGTTTTATGTGCTTTCACATTTTTAAACCTGCTGTAGATATTATAGGACGTGACTGCATAGAATTGTTGCTGGGAGTGTTTTGTTGGGGGGAATAAGGGATTCCTGAAGAGCCTCTAACAAATTTTGAACTGGACTGGTCTTGGGTCTCAATGGTTTTGGGATTCTGTTTAACTTTTTTTTTTGAATAGCACTCTGTTAAGTTGGTTAAGGCCAATGAGCTCCTAGTGTAATCATGTCTTCAATCTGAAGTTAGCCGCATTAATGTCATAAATGGTTCAACACTACAAATGCATGTCATAAATTATTCATACAACAAAAGACTTGTTTATTAAGCTTAAGTTTTCATGTTTGGATATACTTAGAGTGAATTTGATTTATTACATGTATTATTTTACAGATTGATTCTCAGACCACTCGTCCACCACCTATCGTTCCTGCTACTACTCCACCGACTTTAGCTCATCATTCTCTGGATGCTCAGAGTTCTACATCTGCTGCTCAATGTTTTCCGCGGGATATTTCGACACAAAGCCCTCTTGCTAGTCGATTGGAAGGCGTGCTGGGGGGCATCTTAGGGAGCTTAACACAAGAGGGCTATAGCGAGGAGGACATCCGCAAAGCTTTTGCTGATTATATTCAATTAAATCAGCCGTGACTTGTACTTTTAATTAACATACTTAAGACATTTGTATATTTCAGATATCCTCTTTTGGGAGTTGAGTATATAACTTGTTGTATTTTGATTCTAGTTAATCTTTTGTTTTATGCGTGGGAATGTATATGTTGTGAACTATTATATATTTTTGTGGGAAATGTTGTATGTAAATGCTGTAGGTAAAAGTGACAAAAAAGAAAAAACACAATCATTCTGCACCAACACCGTTGGTGCAGAAATATGCACCAACGGCTGAAAGTTTGTGTAGAAACATTGATGGTTACAACCGTTGGTACCGATCATTGATGGTTAAATATGCACCAATGGTTAAATAATCGTTGGTGTAGAAATATGCACCAATGGTTAAATACGATCATTGATGATTGATACCGATCATTGATGGTTGATACCGATCATTGATGGTCCCCTGTAGTTCACCGATTATTCAATTTTCTGGTTTTTGAATTTCACATATTGTTAACTGTAGTCCATTGCTGGTTCGATCTCTCGTTTTTGAAAAATAAAGGTTATTGACCATAGCTCATTGATGACCTATGGACTACCGATGGTTGTCTCTTGACCGTCAATGGTTAATGGCTGAAATCAATTGTTCGTGTTGTTTTGAGCCTAAAATTTTTGGTACATGTTTATTTATAAAATATATCATCTTATAAATTTATTAATACCAAATGAGAGTTTGTTATTGATAAAACAAGACATATTACATGAACAACGTTCTCTCCGAATAAAGTTCTAGCAACATTTCCTTAAAATTTCTTAAACACTAAGGTAAGCCTCATATTAAATTTCCATGCCAATTGGAATATTTTGAAAACATTGGCAATTTAACAGTGCAGATGCGCGATCCTATAATTGATGTAGATCAATCTTGATTTAAACCGGATTAAAAATAGAGAGCTTTCGTTGCTCTGCTAGGATTCGCTCGGTTTCGTCGTTATTCCAATTAATTGGGCCCTGACATGATAAATATAAGAGGATGGGCTCAGGCCCGTGAACTGATTGTTGGCTCTTAAAACTTTTAACCTCAGCCGCCGCACGTGCTAGGTAAGTCGTCACTTGAGGACGTCAGGTGGGCCCAGCCATTTTAAACTCAAAAAACTCCCGCTCAACTTTGGTAACATCAGCAGCATTCGAGGGAACAATATGCTTTTTCTAAAAAAATTCTTCACCGAACTCCCCACCCACCGCCTCATCATCACGCCTGCGGCCTGACCCGTTAATTACCTCCACGTGCCAATTTCAGCTCCTCCTTCTCTCTAATTAGTCATTTAATCTGCTCGCTGTTCGTACTTCACAGCTGATCTAGTACTCACATTGCCCGTACCGCAGAAAACTGATAAGTAAAATACCGTTTTCATCGAACTCCACTCCCCTTAGCATCCGACATGCTTATGATCACTATAGAAAAATGCAACTGTTTGCAATTCAAATCAAACATATTTGCATTTAACTCTCCAAAATCTACATATTTGTTGCAATACTATCTCTACCGAAGAGTTAAAAGTACGGTTGAAACATGAAGTCATTGTTTTTTTTAAATTATACTCACGAACTACTTACGCACATGATTGAACTCCTTTATGAGTCATTAATTTGATATAAAGTGAAGTGATTAAACTCTATATATTTTTTTTATTATGTGAAAGTAGTTTGGAGTGAGAAGTTTAAGTATCACTATTCAATTAAAGTACCCTAAGCTTACTTCTTTTATATTTTTACAAAAATTCCCTCTAGGCACTAAAATTGCTAATAGACCCCTAGTTGCTATATGTTGTTATTGCTTCTCTAGACTGGGAGGACTAATTTAAAATAATTTATAAGAATTATGATTTAGTAGTTATTTTAATGATTCATCAGACAATTTTTAAAAGAACTTATGAGAATTGGAGCCCAATAATAATTTCAACGTACAAGGGACAAATATCAATATGCCAAACATTTAATGGACTAATGTTGAAAAATAATACATAAAAAATATTAAAAAACTCAATTATCACATCTCAATAAGTAAGGGTTACATCTGCAAAATATTTTTCCAATTATTTGACTTATGTACCAAAAAATTAAAAAGAGAGTATGATTATCATAGCTAAGAAATCGAAGTATAGTATCCGATCCTTTAAAATTCCTTTCTTCCTTCCTCGTCTTCTTCAGTTTCCTCAAAAAATCCGAACCCGTTAACAATGCATCGAAGACCGAACCCGACCAACAAAAAGCTCACCCCTTCCTCCTCCTCGGCCGCCGCCGCCGTTTTATGGCGGTGGCGGCGACGGCGATCACTCAAACACCCGCTTTCTCCGCGAGCTGGAAACCCTAACAAGAGCCCTAGCCCTCGACCCAAACCCTAAAACCCGCCGCTTCTCCCTCCCTTCAAACCCTAGCCCTAAACCTGAACCCAAACCCAAACCCTCATCCACATGGAGCTGGAAGAACCCTTGAAAGCCCTAACCCACCTCCGCACCCTCGCCGCTTCGATTGCACCTTCACCCTCAGAGTTCACTCCATCGGATCCCTCCCCCAACCCTCTCAGCTCCGCCTTCATCGTCCACTGGCGCCGGGCTTCGGATTCCTCAGGCGCCAAAACCCGACCCGCTAAGGCATTCCACGGCTCCGCCGAGTTCGAGGAAACCCTCTCCTGCCGATGCTCAGTCACGGCGGTGGGGCCCACGCACGGCGAGGTATGAACCCAGGCAATTCTTGATATACGTTACCTTAGCGGGGGCCACAGGGTTCGATTTTGGAAAGCATAGGGTTGAGCTGACGAGCATCCTACCGGTGACAATGGAGGAATTGGAGGGGGAGAGGAGTTCTGGTGAGTGGAGCACGAGCTTTAGGTTGGCGGGAAGAGCTAGAGGAGCTTTGTTGAATGTGAGTTTCGGGTATTCGATTGGGAATGGAGATGGGTTTAAATTTAAAAGGTGTGGTAGTGTCAAAGGAGTGAGCTTTAGCGGGGGAGAGAGGGTGATGCTTAGAGAGGTTATTAAGCAGGAGTTGGATGTTGGGGGTTTGAAGAGTGGGAGTGAAGGTTCTGGTACTAAGTGTTGCACATTGATGGAGCCTGTGAAGGAGAATGAGGAGGAGGACCCAGAGTTTACTGTGATCGAACAAGGAGTTGAAATTGAGGCTGGGGATCGGGCTGATGAACTTAAGTTGGAAAATGTTGAGGTTGAGAGGGGCAGTGAGGGAATTTCGCTGCTGATTGATGAGCTTCATCAAGAGTCTGAAAAGGAAACTTTTTTGCCAAAAGATTTGGATATGGAAAAGATCAATTTTCCAATACTTGAATTGGAGGGATTGGAATCACCAAAATTTGAGAAGATTTGCACAGGAGATGTACGCTCTGTGAACTGCGAGGATATATTGGAAAATGTTGAGCCTGAGAGAGAGAATGAGGGAGATAATGCTGTTGATCAAGAACCCAAGAAGGAAAATTTCCCATTGAGAGATTTGCTGCGGAAAGATTTGTACTTGAAGGATAACAGTCTTCCAATTCTTGAGTTGGAGGGATTTGAATCACCAAGAGTTGAATTTGAGAAGATTAGATCGAAAAATGTACTTGAATTGATCGGATTGGAATCTCCAATAATTGAATTTGAGCAGATTAAATCGAAAGATTTTGACTCGGAAGGATGGGGGTCTCCAAACTTTGATTTTGAGCATATTAAGTCAAATTTCAAAGCAAAGGGCATTAGGAGCAAATCCCTTAGCATGGATGATGAGTCTGTTGCTAATGAGTTCTTGAGCATGCTTGGTTTAGAGACTAGCTCTGCTAGTGATCCTGAATCTCCAAGGGAGCAACTCTGGAAACAATTTCAGAAGGAAAATTTGAACGCTGATGACATCATATTTGGTCCTGAAATTCATGGTGACATCTCAGAATTTGATATGGAGCAAGAGAAAGAATGTCTTATGATGAATGGTAAGTCGAGGGCCAAAATGTTGGAGGATGCAGAAACTGAAGCTTTAATGCGTGAATGGGGTTTGAATGAGAAAGTCTTTGCTAGCTCTCAGCCTGTGAGCAATGCTTTTGGCAGTCCTATTCATCTTCCTCTTGAAGAGCCGCTCAACCCGCCACCTCTTGATGAGAACTTGGGTCCATATCTCCAGACCAAAGATGGTGGATTCTTGAGGTCAATGAACCCATCCCTCTTCAAAGGTTCGAAGAACAGCGGGAGCTTGGTGATGCAGGCCTCGAGGCCTGTTGTAATGCCTGCAGAAATGGGCTCTGACATTATGGAAATATTGCAAGGGTTGGCCTCTGTTGGAATTGAGAAGTTATCAATGCAAGCTAGTAAGCTCATGCCTTTGGAAGATATTACTGGCAAGACAATTCAACATGTAGCACGGGAAGCTGCACCATGTCTAGAGTCCTGTGGAAGGTATGGCAATTGATATTTCAGATATCGGCAGCGAGTTCTTGTTTTTTTATAATTTCATTCCTAAATAGTGTTCTACTTTAAATCATATAGGACTGATTTGTTGCCGCATCTAAACTTTGAAGTTGAATCTTTGGCTGCCCAGAAAGCCTCTGATAGGACTAGAAAGCATAAAGTCTCAAAAGGGGGATCATCTAGAAATGGGGATTTTGAGTCTGAATACGTTTTGCTCAAAGATCTTGCTCCATTAGCAATGGATAAAATAGAAGCTCTGTCCATTGAGGGGCTGAGGATACAGTCTGGCATGTCCGATGAGGAGGCACCTTCTAATATCAGCCCACAATCTATCGGTGAGATATCAACGTTGGAGGGTAGAGGACTGAAGAACAGCATGACTCTAGGCTTAGAAGGAGCTGCTGGTTTGCAGCTTTTGGATGTTAAAGATAATGGGGGAGATGTTGATGGCGTGATGAGTTTATCAATAACCCTTGATGAGTGGATGAGGCTAGATTCTGGAGACGTTGATGAAGAGGATGAAATCAGTGAGAGGACAACGAGAGTTCTTGCAGCACATCATGCTAAATCAACTGAGTTTCTCAGGGCAGATAAAAGAGGGGGGAAGAACTCAGGTAAAAGATGTGGTTTGTTAGGGAATAATTTCACAGTGGCACTAATGGTGCAGCTTCGAGATCCTTTACGTGACTATGAACCAGTTGGAACCCCGATGCTTGCTCTAATTCAAGTGGAACGAGTGTTTATCCCTCCCAAACCTAAAATATACAGCACAGTTTCAGAAAGAGGAAATAGTGAACTGGATGATGAAGTAGACATTAAACATGAACTGGTGACAAAGGAGGAGAAGAAAGTGCAAGAAGATGCCATTCCTAAGTTCAAAATCACTGAAGTACATGTTGCGGGTTTGATGACTGAAAGTTTGAAGAAAAAACTATGGGGTAATGCTGTTCAGCAGCAATCTGGCTCTCGATGGTTGCTTGCAAATGGAATGGGAAAGAATAAAAAGCATCCATTTATGAAGTCCAATCTTGTTACAAAGCCGTCTCAAGTGACTACAAAAGTACAACCTGGAGATACTCTTTGGAGCATTTCTTCGCGAATCCATGGCACTGGGGAGAAATGGAAAGAGATAGCAGCACTGAACCCTCACATAAGAAATCCTAATGTTATTTTTCCCAATGAGACTATCAGATTGCATGGAATAACTACATCCTGATCCTGACTCCTTTTATAGTGCAACAATGAGAGGGAGCCGGACCAGCTTTTGCTCATAAGTTATCACTTGACATGCTTCCATGAGCAGTTTACAGAGAGAATTGATGGCAAAAGAGGGACTTTTTGTGCATTAATTTGTTCACCTTGTAGTTCATCCAGCCGCAAGGTCTAAAGTTTTTTCTTTAATTTGGAATATATCTTACAAAGTTGAAAGCTGAGAAGATTTATTATAAAGATCCGTTTGTATCAAACTGCAGATGGGTGTGTTATAGGTATATATTATGGTGGTTCTTGTTCCATCTGCCTGGTATGTTATGCTTACATCTCCTAGATGTTGTTGAACTCTAAGCCTTATCTATGTGGTTTAGATGATGAATCAATATAGGCGTTCTTCCTGTGGAGTTGAAAGATATGAGTTTGCATATAGTCGTATGTGCTTGTTGTAGATTTTCCTGTTACATTGTAGTAATTACCTTGTTGTAATCCCCTATATGCTGATCTTTTGTGCCCTAGTATCATTGGCTATCACCCATGTTCGTGTACTTTATAACTATTAATGCTAACTATGCTTGCTCAGTGGTGCAAAACTCATCGAGCTCTGATAAGTAATTTTTTGTGAGTGAATACTTTGATAGATAATTCATGTCCGTACCTTGCAAATTTGAGGAACCTTGCAGATTCTGATTCAGTTTGGACTTCTCAAATGCATTGATGGACAACTGTATCCTAGTATGAAAACCTTGCAAATTCTAGTAGATATATGCATACATAAATCACAAACAACTCAAATATATGTTCATCCTCCCATGTACACGCACATATCCGTGTGCAGATGCCCACAGCTATGCAACACAAAAAAGCACACACCCACATAAACCCAAAAGGCAAAGAGGACCAGACAGATGTTCTAGCATATAAACACACACAAAAGAGGAAATTTAATAATATTTTCTTCTTCAACTACCTCAAGCATTCTACTCCGATCTCACTGAGATATGATACATCAGAAACATCCACTTGTAATCTAGAAATTGCTTTAGTAGGCTAGTTCTACAATACATGATGTCTTGACCGCTATTCTACCCCTGGCAACAACTTTAATATTCAATCAAACGCTCCACAAGAGTGTCCTATAAAATTGGATTTCTCATGTACTCTTGAATACTATTGACTGGATAAACTATGATACTGAGAGGTTGAGTTAACTGCGTGATAACTACATGCCCCTTGAAGAGGCACATTATGGTTATGGATACCCTCATAGGTTGTAAGGACATAGCTAGAGTCATCCCGTGCTCTCTCAACTCTCTTCTTAACACTGCATCCTTCTGTTAAGCACCGATAATAATTCCTGCAACCACATAACAATTTGTCATTCACTTATGTGATATAGCTTGGGAGTAACACCGTAGTTTTCTTAAGAATTTTTAGTGCATGAACATGGTGAATATAAAATTACTTCTGGACTGACTATTGCTTCTGCTAAAAGCAATGTTGAATTTTATTTGATGCTTTTTGAGTTCGCATTGTATACATGTGTTATATTTTCCTGCATTTTAGGTGTTCCGTAATGGACATGAACACTTTCTTGGAGATGCTCTTTTATCAGGAAAGTCAGTTTTTAGCAGAGATGCACTTTCCATGGAACCTATTGCTTACTTGCACTCGTTTAGCCTGGATATTCAGTTTTTGCCCTGTGGATCTGTGTTCAGAAATTGGAAAACTTTTCAAGCTCAGAAACCAGTGCTATCGTGGTAAAATTTAGTTCATCTCTGTAAAAAGCTAGATGCAAATTTAATTTAGTATAAACTGAGGGATGAACAATTAGATGTCAGCCTGAGAGCTTGTGGAATTTGTATATCAATTGTTATAACACCATAAACAAATATCACCATTACTTTAGCTTTATTTTTTTGACCATTCTGCAATAGAGAGTCTTTACCTTGGATTTGGGCTGTTCTTAACCATTTTCTTCCCATACTTTCTCCACTTGTATCCATCATCCATTGTCTCAATCTCAGATTTGGTTCTGAATGCTACTTTCCATTTTCTTCCTGTAGAAGTGTCCTGTTCCATATATTTGTTTCTGCATCAAGAGGTGCATATACAAAATTGTTTAATGTAAAATTTAACTACAAGTTCCAATCAGAACACAAATCTAGCAAGGGAGAGGTTAATACTTCCTGTTGCAAACATTGACACTTCTTTGATCAGCATGACCATCGGTCGTCACTGGCAGCAGTTGATTTGGCTTATATGGACCCGATAGGTGACTTTCTTGGACCTCTTCATTGAATGTGAGATAATCATCAATTTCGAAGGTGTCTTCTGGCTTATCATTCTCCGATGAGTTTGAGGACAACAAAGAAGAGTAAGAAGACATTGCAAGAGGCAAGCACTCCTTTTTCGTACTGAGAACTAAGTCGAAAGAAGACGGTGAAACTGCGAAGGTAAGTGAAAGTTCCAGCTTTAGCTTTATAGAACTATGTCATGTGAAATGGGTGATCGAACTTTCATGGAGACTTCCTAGTGTTAAGAGCTATAACTCTTATCAATTAAGAACCAGAATATAGGTATCAGTGGGGCCTATGGAGGGAGAATTTGGTTGACTTGTGATTTTGAAGTCTTGTGATTAAGTCTAGCGTCATTGCTTGCCAACTTTAGGTCACTGTATTATGTAATTGATATTAGTATGTGGCCCTGATAACATATTTTAGTGTGGCTTTCGAGTCGTTTTCTATCGAGATTAGAGGTGCAAATTCTGGTCCATTGAAAGCTACACTTTGTCATTGACTGATGTGAATTGGATTGCTCCTGGTATTTGTATCACCAGTTCTCTTATAAACACAAGACCCAGGAAACTCACCTGAAATTGCATTCTCACTTGATTTCTTTTACTTGACTTGTCTTTGCAGGTCTCTGGGGGCTGAACGTACTTGTCATTGTCATGGTCCCTAGCAAAAGCATGACAATTATACAAATAAGGAATGCCAGTTGGTTACACTGTTTAAATTTCAATATGTTACCTGCACAAGAACAATGTTTTCACACCTGTAAAATAGATTTAAAAAAAACCAAAGTTAAGTTTTTTTGAGGAAATTTTGTATTGCTTGATAAGTTTGGCAAATTTTGGGTTTTTTTATTCTTTATTTTGGAATTTTTTTCCTTAAAATTTCTTTTTCGATTTTTTTGGGTGCAATTAATTAATGTGGTGGCACCACTTTTCCTTTCAGTCCAAATTCATTCGTTTTGTTTCAGATTTTCCAAAAACAACTATCTGCGGGATAAAAGAGATTTCTCATGGATGCGCAATATTTCTTAAAAAACGCAATATTTCTGAAAAAAAATTGCATGTGTGGACCAGAGTTCTAGAAATATGAAGAAGAAAAAACAACGGCTTAGGTTTACTAACTCAAGCTTTAGAAGTTCTCATTTGTTCTTATCCTAATTGGATTATCTCATTTGCAGGAATTGAGGGTAAGTGTAAAGATGCATAGCGAGGTCAAGTTCATGCACAAGAGTAGGATTTCTATGAGAGCGGTTTTATATGCAGGAAAATCTTAGCCATTGGAGGGGCTAAATGCACCTTCACTAACCCATGTGCTCGTATCAGAATGCCCCGCACCGTGCGGGACGTTCTGATAGGATTCGTACTCCATGCACAATGCCAGAACCAGGTAATTATTAGACTCATAATCTGTTATTGGTGTTGAATCATAGTGCAAGCACATTGTCTATTGTTATACTGTACACAAAATCATCTAAATCTAGAGCAAGGGGCACAATGTGATTATAAATAGTGAATGATGGATATGAGGTGACGGCCATTTTGCTAAATGAGCTACCAAGAGATAGAGTGGTGTGGTCCACACCTTTTAATGTGACTAGCAAGGTGAGGCTCACCGCATGGCCGCACCTTTTGATGTCACTAGTAAGGTGAGGCTCACCGCATGACCATCTTTTGGTAGCTCATTTAGTAAAATGAGCTGCCACTTCATACCCATTATTTCCTTATAAATATGGTTATTCAGCATAATATATGTATTGAATATTCCCTCGACATTTCTTGGTGCTTTGACACGTAACGTTATTTGCATTCTCCAACTCATTAAAACAATAGAAAACACAGTGGTAGGTGTCAACAGTGAACTTTTTTGTATATCTTCATAATTTTAAATGGAACACAATGTTATTAGATATAAAATATGAATAAACTGATAAAATTCTTGCATTTTATATGGTTTTGGAACAGGTTAAGGGAAGGTTTTTCCACTCATTAGGTTGGCAAATGTGAAACCGAAAAATGCGGCTCTTGAGAAATATACAGCATATGATGTTTCTCAGATTAGTACAAAACTTTTATTTTGAGTTTTATTATTATTATTATTATTATTATAGGTAGTTGTTCTTAAAGATGGGCAGTGAGTTCAAGCGCATGCACAATTCGTAATCTGTTATTAGTATTGAATCATAGCATGCACATTGTCTACTGTTATCTAGTACACAAAATGTTCTAAATCTAGACACTGGCACACAGTTACATGTGTATGTGTGAACAACATATATGAATATATGTTTTGGGTATTCCCTCAAGAATTGGTTGTGCTTTGACAGGTCACATTTATATGCATTTTCCAGCTCGTTGCAATGCGAAAACAATTTGTGTCATTGCGATATTTCTGTATATTTTCCATAATTTTAGATGGAAGCACACGGTTACTTAGGTATAAAATATGAATAAACTGATACAATTCTTGCATTTTATACAGTTTTGGATCAGGGTAATAGAACAGATGGTATCTCGCTCATATAGTTGCATGGCACTTGGTTCGCCCCGGATCATGGGACAGGAATGGAGTGTGGTATGCCATTCATTGGGAATCATGTACGAGGGGATAGGCTTATATAGTATGCTAGGGAACAGGGTATGTTTTAGGTTCGGTTCTTAAATGTAGGAGTCAAAGATCTTGCAATAATCAAATTTAAGAGGTATGCTACTTGATACTAGTAATGGTAAAAGAAACTTGAGAATCATGTTGCAACTAAAGTTGCTTAATTTCTCATGTTTTTTTTTTGTTCATTCTTTCTAAAAGAGTTTTTTTTTAAGAATTTTGGTTTAAATTCTAATTTAGGTCGTTGGAGTTGACGAAACGGGTGGTGTTCCACCGTGATCTGGGACGATTAAACCTGGGTTGTGTTTTGCTATAGCGTCTCACGTTCCCATCATCTATGATTTCACTTAGTAGGTTGGCAAATGTGAAATCAAAATTGCAGCCTAGAAAAATCTACTGCGCGTGATGTTTCTCAAATAAGTAGAAGGCATTTAATTCATCTGAGTTTTTGTAATGCTATTATAGATAGTTGTTCTTGTCAGAGAAACTTAGGGAACCCAAATTTTCTTCGTTCTTATGCTGGAGCTGTTTGGTTCACCTATTTCATAGAAAAGTTTTAGGAGAGCACCTAACAATGGCATTATCGTGAATAATAGATTTATGTAGATTTGTATAAATTCACCTAACAATGGCATTATCGTGAATAATAGATTTGTATAAATTATGTTTGGTTCCAAAAAAATTTATAGAAATGTTTTCTATAAAGTAGGGAAAACTGTACTATTTTATAGAAATCAACTTCCTCCCCAAATGGACGAAAATTGCAAGGAAATCTGACATTAAGGTTAAAATCATACTCCTTTTAAAAGCACGAGTTCGGGAAAATCTTTCGATAGACAAAAATACTCCTATAAAGTTTGAACTATCCTATCACTAATAAATTCTAATTTTTAAATTGTATTTAATGATTTATTCTAATCCTAATCAAATAACTTCGAAGTTTGAACTATCCTAATCCTAATAAAATTCTAACTTAATCAAATTCTAATATTTTTTTGTGATTGTCATTATCTATTCGGTAAATTTCATTAAAACCCTAATAACTTTCATAATGCCTTTTTATGTTGTTTTTCCGTTTACATATAACTAATTAAAATATAATATATAGCTTAGCATTAATTAATTATATTTTCCAAACATTTATCTCTGGTGTTAATAATATTTGCAGGGTAACAAAATACATGGAGTTATGTACGGAGAGACTATCGAAAAGTTTATAGATATGCTTCGAAAGAATCAAATTATTTTTATTTCAAATGGAGAAGTGAAAGGAATAAAACCAGCTTTTCCAAGTATCCACAAGTCACTTGAATTAGTATTAATAAAAGATATATCTATCAAAGAAGCACCAACAAGTTTTCACTTGGAGAACATATTGAACAACTTTGTTCCATTTGAAGAAGCATTTTTCATGAAAGATGCAACAAAAATTAGTAAGTACTTATAAATTTCTTACTTTAATCTTCATTACAAAATGAGACGTTAATTTATAGAATCATAATTTTTTTATAAAATTACTTGCAAATATTCTTGCAATAACAACTAACGTGAAGCCGGTGATCAACTATATTACAAAACATAACAAACCAGACAATATGAGGAAAATCATGCTAATGGATAAAAGGTATATTCATGATACTTATTTCCAATATCATAAGAAAAAATAAGATTAACATACTTTTTTTTCATATACAGTGAAATGACTATACACGCAACTTTATTTGGGGATTTGACTACAAATGAAGGATCAATTCTTAAAGCTAAAATCAAAGATAATATAATAGCATTATCAGATTTTAAAATCTCTATATATAAAGGTACATAATTTATTACTGAAATTCTTATTAAAGATAGCTAAACATAAAATTCATCCAATAATTATCTCAATTTTGCAGGGGAGACAAGCATATCGTCGCAAATTATATCAACAATATGTATCAACCCAAAAATAAAACTAGCTAAAAATTTTAGGGAATGGTAAGTAGAACAAGCATACTTTCATATAACGCAATAATGAAATAGTATTATATTTTAATCTAATATGCATGTTTCATTTTGAAGAAGCCGCAAAAACAAAAGGTTCTCCATCAACGTTTTATATAAATGCAAAAGAAATTCAAATTAGTGATATTATGCATACATCACAGTATTCGATAGAGGTACAATATTAGAAACCTATTCTTATTAACACATTTAAATCTAACTAAATTCGAAAGAATCAGATTATTTTCATTTCAAATGGAGAAATGAAAGGAATAAAACCAGCCTTTTTAAGTATCCACAAGTCACTTGAATTAGTATTAATAAAAGATGTATCTATCAAAGAAGCACCAACAGGTTTCCACTTGGAGAACATATTGAACAACTTTGTCCCATTTGAAAAAACATTTTCCATGAAAGATGTAACAAAAATTAGTAAGTACTTATAAATTTATTACTTTAATCTTCACTACAAAATGAGACGTTAATTTATAGAATCATAATTTTTTTATAAAATTACTTGCAAATATTCTTGCAACAACAACTAATGTGAAGCCGGTGATCAACTATATTACAAAAAATAACAAACCAGACAATAGGAGGAAAATCATGCTAATGGATAAAAGGTATATTCATGATACTTATTTCCAATATCATAAGAAAAAAAATAAGATTAACATACTTTCTTTTTTCATATACAGTGAAATGACTATGCGCGCAACTTTATTTGGGGATTTGACTACAAATGAATGATTAATTCTTGAAGCTGAAATCAAAGATAAGCCTATAATAGCATTATCAGATTTTAAAATCTCTATATATAAAGGTACATAATTTATTACTGAAATTCTTATTAAAGACAGCTAAACATAAAATTCATCCAATAATTATCTCAATTTTGCAGGGGAGACCAGCACATCGTCGCAAATTATATCAACAATATGTATCAACCCAAAAATACAACTGGCTAAAAAATTTAGAGAATGGTAAGTAGAACAAACATACTTTCATATAACGTAATAATAAAATAGTATTATATTTTAATCTAATATGCATGTTTCATTTTGAAGAAGCCGCAAAAACAAAATGATCTCTATCAACGCTTTTTATAAATGCAAAAGAAATTCAAATTAATGATATTATGCATACATCACAGTATTCGATACATGTACAATATTAGAAACCTATTCTTATTAACACATTTAAATCTAACTAAATTTTACCAATATACAGACATGCTATTGCACATTTAAGGCAAAGATAACTACTATGTTGAATAGACTCGAGCCATGGTTCTATACTTGCAAAGGCTGCAACAAGAAAGTAGATAAATATGTTAGTAAAGAGTGTCTGAATGATAAATGCCCCATAATTATTGATGACTCAGTATCAATGTTATCTTTTTTTATGGCATGAACATATTAAAATATAATATTAACTATCTCTAGAAATCGACAATGAAAACTACATGTACGTAGTTAAGATTCTCGTGGAAAATAGTACGGATAATACAAGAGTAACACTATTTGATGCAGCAAAAACTCTTATTGGATGCACAACAGAAAAATTCATTACAGAAAAAGAGGTAATTCCTAACTCTATTCAAGTAATAATTTAGAAAATAAAAAAATTCATATATATTAAAATAACATTTGTTCTTATTGAAACAAAAAAAATAATTAGAGTCCATATTTTCATAAATTTGTGTTGAACATCGAAAAAACGTTCAAATTCCTGGTGAAGTTAGATAGAAAAAAAAGATGAACGAGGCAAAGGAAATATAATAGCACAAGAAATCTAACTCCAGACTGATATTACAATCGACGTAGATGATGAAGATGCTACTCTAGAATTGCCCATGAAAAAGATAAAGGTCGAGAAAGATTGATCTTGGTTCAATTAAAATATGAAACAAAAATAATAAAGGATAATATTTTTTTGATCATTTTATATCATATCTTAATTTTTGAGTAGAATAAGGAATTTTTATAAGGGATTTTCATACAACATTATTAGTAGTTTGTATGCTTATGTGATTGCTTTCATCCTATAAAAGTATATTATAGTTACCGTTATTATTTAGTTTTTGTCTTTTTATTACTGCTTTTGGACAATTATAGGTGTATTTCCCTGTCTTTTCTGTAATTGGTATATTTTGTTCTTCAAATTTTATTATAAATTTTTGTATGGGATTGCTCTTTTGGATAATTACTCTCTAATTGTAAAGTGCGCAATTGTTTAAATTCTTCATGTTTCTTCGAGTTCGTTCTAAACTTGTTTATAAGTTTGCTCTGATCTTACTGTTTTTGGACAATTACTCTCTGACTACAATGTTCTGCAATGCATGCGCACTTGATTAACATCTTCATGTTTCTTTGAGTTTCATTATAAATTTCTTTATAGGTTTGCTCAAATCCTACTTCTTTTCAATTATTGTATAGGTTGATTTTTATTATTTCATGTAAGAAGAGGTATCTCGGAACCATTTCTTACAATTTATTTTTATATGATTATTATGGTTTAGTAAAATTGTTTATTACAAAACATGAGCTTATAATGTCCCGGTTTAGTAAAATTGTTTATTACAAAACATGAGCTTATAATGTCCCAATGTGTTGTGCAATTTTATTTTCAATGTAATAAGAAATGTGGTTTCTTTTTTACTAGAACATTAGTTCATAATGATATTGCTATTCAGCTTGACTCCATATTATATATTGAGATTAGTAGAGTTTGGAATATGACATAAAGTATTAATTTAATTTATTTCCTTTTACTATTCTACTTGAAGATATTATTATGTCAATTCATATTTTTTTCTTAAGAAATCAGTTAAGATGTCCCAATTAAGCTTATAATATCCAAAAATACTGTGCAATTCTATTTTCAATACAATAAGAAATGTGATTTCTTTATTGCTATAATTATAGTTTATAATGACAATTACAATATCCCAATTAGGTACATTCATCTCAGTTTAGCTGGCTAAATACCCATATTGGTATTTTAATTCCACCCCATTTACCAAGAATGTATTTTAATTAGGCAAATATGCTTTAAGATATTTTAATTGATTCAACTTACCAACAAGGCCATTTTTCTCGTCGGCGACCAGTTTTCCGACGAGAGCTCGTCATGTGCGTGGCACGTGATGGCTTAAACTATTTTTTAGCTGCTGATGTGACACGGATCTGTCCTATTTTGGGTCAATTAGGATTTTTAGAGGGTTAATTCCCTCCTTTAAACACTATCACGTCAGAAAATCTGTGTCACATCAGTAGCTAAAAAATAGTTTAATTAATCACGTACCACGCACGTGACGAGTTCTCGCCGGAAAACTGGTCGCCGACGAGAAAAAGGGCATTGTTGGTAAGTTGAATCAATTAAAATATCTTAAAGCAGATTTGCCTAATTAAAATACCTTTTTGGTAAATGGGGTAAAATTAAAATACCAATATGGGTATTTAGCCCAGTTTAGCTTAAAAATCTATTACATTGATTTTTAATAATATTTAAATAAAAATAATAGTAAATCTAATAATTTAATTTTACATATTTAAACTCAAGATAAATCTGACTTATTTATAGTAACAAAATAAATATAAAAAAATATTATAATATTTTACCACGTGCACTGCACGTGCATAAAACTAGTAGTAATAAAGTACACCCATACCACTTTTCCATAAAACTTGAAATACGTAGAAATTAGAAATTGCCTACATTCTTCTATGAGTTTTGGAAACAAAAGGGAAAAAATAACTTATTTTCTATAAAGTTAGGAACTTATTTTCATATTTTGAACCAAACAAAGGAATAATAACAAATAAGAAAACTAGTACTTTTTGAGTTCTATAAACTTCTCCTACAAATATTTATAGAAATAACCAAAAAATTAGTTTCTTGATATTTTTCATTTTTCTTTTTTTGACAGAAATCGAATCAAACATCCTCTAAAAGAGAAAAAGGTTTCAGATCCCCCTTTATACCTTTTGTTGTCTGATAGTATTTACACATAAACCATAGAAAGTGTTCATTGGATCGGTCCACGGGACACATGGCGTTCTGAGGAATGCGAATACTTGGATCAGTAGAAAATTGATTATAGGATTAATTTCACAAACACCTAAACTTTTAGGGATTTTGCACATAACCCCCTCAATTTTCACCTCACAAAACCCCTGAACTTTTGGGTGTTTCACAAAACCCCCTAAATTTTATATTTTCCTTATTGACCCTCTTCCAATAATTGGTGAATAACTAAAGTGTCTTTGACAGAGAAAACACTAAAATTTGTTATTTGCCATTTACTTGTAAGATATCTCCTGCCCCAATGTGAGGGCTTTTATCTCTCAAGGATATTTTAATTATTTGCAAATTACGAGTAAGGAACTCGGCCCAAAAGTTTTAAATTTCAAACCCGCTTAGGGCTAGTGGCCTGCTTAAAAAAAGAAAAAAAGAGGAGGGAGAAACAAAAACCAAGTTAAAACAGGTCCAGCCCAATCCAGAAACTAAAAACAAGTGTTTGTAATTAAAACCCGACCCGCTAACTCATCAAAACCCAAATCCATACCGAAATCTACCCGTTTCCCTCCCGATCTCTATTTCGCAAATACCCTCTCATTCGCCTTTGCCGCTCTTCCGGCTCGCCGCTTCCTATCTTCGCCACGCCTCCTATTCTTCGCCGCCGCCTCCTCCTCCTTCCCCACAACACTAAAACACGGTCACTGCGCCTCCTCCTCATCCTCTTCTCCGCCTCCACCTCTTCTCCGCCGCCACCTCTTCGCCGGCTCCTCTTCTTCGCCGTCGCCTTCTCCTCGAGCTAATCACTGCACTTCCTCCTCGAGCCAACTCCTCGGCTCCTCCTCTTCGCCGCCTGTTCCTCTTCATCGCCAGCCCTCCCCTTCTCTTTTTCAAGGTAAAAATTTCATCTTTTTTCCCCCCACTGTGATTGACTGATTGGTAAACAAACATATACATGATGCAAATTGAACCCCTTCGCTGCCAAAAAAATTCTAATTTTACAGATCGAGATACGATTATACAGAGTTTGGTGAAATCTTGTTGATGAAATTGTTGATCTTTTATGCGGTTTGAGAATCCAATCTTGATATAGTATAGAAACAGTTCCAACTGAAACAAATCTTCATGCTGTAGACCTGAAAAATTACAACCAAGCAAAATTAGCCATGGCAAGAAAATTAATTATTATAATTAAATAATTTAAAAAATAGCCAAACGCTCAGGCGTTGGCGGCGCCCGGCTCAAGCGGCTGGTCTGTCTACGCTTCCTTGCTAATTATTTTCTCTGCTTTCTTCCTTTCTAGTCCCAGAATCTGTGAATTCCGACAAATTACGGTTTCATTGATCTCATTCATCATAAATGAAGGTTTTTTTTGCCAAACCTTTTAGATGAGGGGGTTTATCGGCAAGCAGGGTATAGATGAGGGGAATTATTGGGATGATCATCTACATGTACACTTTCAATACCTTGATTGTGACTGTTAGAATTAATATAAAACAGTGTTTTCAAATGCGCGCGCCTCATTGCGTCTCATGCGCCTTACGATGCGGGGCGGTGGCGATGCGCCCCACATCTGATGCAGCAGTGCCTTTTGCGCCTCGCGTACATCCGTACTTTGTGTAGGATGCATGTAGTGTATTTCCTCATATAGTTTTTTTTGTTAACATTTCAATCGAGTCTTTATACTTGATATTCCATATCCCAAAAAACAAAATAAATCCATTGTGCTTTTTTAATAACCTTCAATTGAGGACCATTACTAATCCTTAGTTTGGATATAAGTCTTGATTTAACATTTGATTTGAAAATTTATGAAATTTGCTACTATGTTGGGTGTTAGCATTAGAAATTAAGGCAATATATTATGATTTTGTAGCAAGATATTATTTATCATGATATTTTTTATGTAAATTCTAAAAATATGTTCTTTCGTGCTTGATTACATATATTAAAATATTATGTGTGTGGTGTGCGCCTTGCATCACTCGGGCGCGCGCATCGCGTTACGCCTTGCGCATGTGCGCGTAAAGATGCTTTGCGCCTCGCATTGCGCCTCGCGCATTGAAAACACTGATATAAAACTATAATCCTTGATCCTCACCATAACTTCGAAGTTTTGGTGTAATGGTTAGGGAAACTAAATTTAATATGATATCAGAACAACCCAGGTTCAAATTCCACTGGTCACGAATTAAATACGGATTTTCTAAAAATTAACACCGCTACGTGAGTCCAGGTTTCGACCCATAAAAAAGACGCTCAACCTGCGGGGGCATATGTTAAAATTAATATAAAACCATAATCCTTGATCATCACCATAATTTTAGAGTTTTGATATAATGGTTAAGGGAACTAAATTTAAGAGTGACAGAGGTAGATGTATCAGATGTCGCATCCACCAACATTGATTCATGAAGCTTCAGTTTTTTTCTTTTGATTTCAATTTTCAACGTATTGATTTTTTTTTTGTTTGGGAGCAAGGTATTGAATATGTACAGCTCTCTTTTGTGGCCTGAAACTAAAAAGGCTCGCTCGTTATTTAGTGTGGCAGCATCAAAAGGGTTCTGTAATTATAACTGTAAATTTTGCTCATTGTCATATGCTTCGCTGCAATTAAATTTTTCGGTGCAACAGAACTTGTTTTGTTTGGATTGAGGGGAATAAGGGAGAAGAGAAGTTAGGGGAACCATTCACCTTGTTTGGGAACATTTAGGAGGTGAAGTTATTCACCCTAGTTCCCCTTAGTTCATCCGTTAATAGTATAAAATTTGTTACCCCCAAATTGGGGTGTAAACAAGGGGAAGGGAACTCCCTTCCCTTCCCTTCTCTTCTCTCACCTAGTTTCCCTTAACTTCCCTTAACCCCATTGAAATCCAAACACGTCCTAACGTTGTTTTTATTAGATTTTGCTCATTGTTACATACTTCGCTGCAATTAAATGTTCCGTAATCTGTAATTGCAGATTTTGCTCATTGTTATGTACTTTGCTGGAGTTAAATTTTCAAAGCAACGGAACTTGTAGGGTTGTTTTATTAAATGTTTGATTTGCACGTATGCTTGCAAGTTAGTGGAGATCTCCTCCGCGCAAAATTATTGCAAAAGTTACAATCGTAGTTGTATTTGTAAAGGATAGTTACAGTTGCAATTTCCTTATTTCCCTTTAATGTTTGCTCAGCATTGAGAAACTATGTAAATGTATCTCATTTGTCTGTGGAGAAAGCAGAGAATCAAGTTATTGTTGTCTTTTTATTTCCCCTCATATTTACACACTAAATGTATGTATTTTTTTTTTAAAAACCTCCAAATCATAGTAATTGTAATTACCTTCAATTTTATCCCTCATTCTGAATTGACGAAAATAAAATTGAAATATTCTGTTAAAATGACCAAAATATTCTTACTTAAACTAATTCAATTCAATTCAATTAATATTATTCATGGTTTGAAATAGTTGAATTCCAATGCTATTAAGACAAGAGAAGAGAATGAGAAAAATAATCTTTTTAAAATAATATTTATTTTTTTATACAAATATTGTAGTGAGGTGTAAATTGAGAATGATTTGCAATTTGAAGTGTAGAAAGCAATTATGAGGAATTGATGATGTAAAAGATTTATTTTAAAATAAGCTATGATTTAGGGAAATGGTTGCGGAAAAAACATCAAAACAACATGGGTTATTCAGATATTAGCCCCTCACATCTTTCAATAATTTCATAATGCTAAGGGGTCTTGAAATTTAGTCCCTCAAGGACAAACATACCCCTTACTTATGATTTTTCTCTTAAAATACATCTTGTTAGAAAAGGTTATTTACACTTTGATACTTTAAAGTTTTACATCTTTCTAACTTTTAGTACCCTGAAGTTTTTCTAACACTTTGCTACTTCAAAGACTTTTTTTCTAGCACTTTTGTTATGGTGAAGTTTACAATCTTTTCTTTTACTTGGACACATAAATGTTTTCTTCTGACACTTCTGTTATGATGAAGTTTATACCTTTCTAAGTTTGATATCCCTTAAAGTTTTGTTTTTGATATTTTAATCCCCAAACTTTAGGGTATCTAAGTAAAAAAGTGTAAACTTTAAGGTATCGAAGTAAAAAATGTAGAATCTTTGGGGATGAAAGAAAAAAAATTGTAAAACTTAGGGGCGTCAAAAGTGTAAAAAAAAAAACATTGGGGGTATCTAAGTTGAAAAAGGTGCAGACTTTAGAATGTCAAATTGTACATAATCCTTAAATAAACAATAGATGAGGGTTTGTTGGTCACTGAAGGACCAAATTGCAAGACCCCTAGGATTTGAGGGACTAGCAAGCACTCTCATAGATTTGAGGGACTAGTATGGAATTATTAAAGACTTGAGAGACCAATATCTATATAACCAAAAGAAAATTGGGATTGCGATAATGGTCCCCTAATCTTCAATATCTTGTAGTTATTCCCTCAAATCGTTGAAACTGCTATTAGGGATCTGTTTGGAAGGACTGACATACTTTAGGGACCTATTAGCAATTTTAATGATTTGAGGAACTAATTTAAAATATTGAAGTTTAAGGGAACAAAATTTCCTCACCCGCTCCCACGTCTCCTCTGTCTTTTACCGTCTCTCTTCAAACTCAAACACAAACCCTAAAAGACCCTAAACCCCAACTTAAAACCAAAAGAATCCAAACCCTAAATCCAATTGAAATCCAAAACCCACCATCTTCTTCTCCTCTCTTCAGCTTGACGCCCTCTCTACCTTTGATACAGCAAACCCTAGCAAAAATCCCAATTACAATCGAAAAATTCTCTCTCTGAACTCAAGGTCAGCTCATTTCCTCTCTCTCTCTTCTCTATCTGATCTGACAAAATTCTATTTTTGAATATTGTTCTTTATATTTCGAAGGTATAATGTTTTATCTAAGCAAGATTGAGCATACAATTCCTCTGCCTCCGCATTTGCTGAGCCGTCCTCTTGTCGGTGCAATCAAGGAGCAACTTGAGAAGTTGTTTTTGGACAAGGTTAGTTGCTGAGATTTTTTTTTTTTCAATTCATTATTTATATGTTGCATGTGGTTATAAAAGTTTCGTTTTTCATTTAAAAATAGGTTATCGCTAATTTAGGCCTCTGTATCTCTATTTATGATATTCAATCCATTGAAGGTGGCTTCGTATATCCGGGGCATGGCTGTCCTACATATAAGGTACTCGTTATTTTATGGAATTGTGAAAATTAGACTCTTAATAAATGAAATTTTTTTATCTTATGTTCATAGATGGAATTCCTTCCTCTTCCCCCCGTCTATCATGCGTGGTTTGAACAGGAACGTCATGACCATTGCTTGGGTTTAAAGTTTAATTTAACCCATGTTGTGTCATACAGCTTGTGTCGTTTCCCATGTTTCCTTATCATTTGGGCTAAATTACCAGATTGGTATTTTAGTAGGACCATGTTTCCAATATGGTATTGTTTTTCTTTCACTTGTGACATTATTGTATTAGTACCGATAGTTGACGTGAATGTGGTGTTATTTTACATTGAAGAAATAAGGTAATTTTTTTTATATAGAATAGATGACCAAATTGATATTAACACTGTTGGTGAAAGAAGAAAGTCCCATATTGGAAACAGGGTTCTATTAAAAATTCCAACTTGGTGATTTATCATTTGTCTATAAATTTGAATAAATAAAAACTAACAAGGAAAAGAACATCATCATAGATTAGATAAATGGATGGAGAAATGTATACCACTAATGATATCATGTAGACTGTTATATTTGTTATTTATAAATAAAATGGGTATGTGGCTACACAGAAAGGTAAAGAACAGGATATAAAGTTGAGAGAATTTATCCATGTTCAAAAATGAGGATTTTGGGTTCATTTAGCGGATGTAAGGTTTTAGGAATGTTCACTTCTCAATCGGAACGTAATGAAAATTGGGGATGATGGTGGGCTTTATCCATTTCTAAAACCCGTGAAATGTTATGGAACCTGACAAATGCTTAGTTAGGTTTTGAACCCATTTTTTCAATTTAGCTTATCAAAAAATCCTAAATGTAAGATAATAGTTGTATCTTAAGGTAAATTGACTAACATATTTGTCCATAGGATTCATTTTATAGAGGCAACTTTATAGGATTCATTTTATAGAGGCAACTTTAAAAATGCAATTATGCATGTTGATTTCCTTGTACATTGTGTTGAAGTATAAGATGCATACTCCTATTGCAAAATATTGACAACAATATCAAGTTTATAGTGAAATCATTAAAACTATAACTATATAATTGTTAAAAGATTAAGCTTTGATAAAATGTTTAGGGATTCTTCAACTATTTAGTAGGTCCAGGGTTTGACTTTTGGAAAATCTCCAATAATTAGGATAGGATTACATACTACAGATCTCCTTAGACACACAACAACAAGGGTCTCATGCATTAGGCTACCCTCTTTATCTCTTGTTGAGTCTCAGTATTCGTTACTTTACGACATACTCATTTTCTCAATTTTTAAGATTTGTGGTTTGTGCATGTGCGTTGGTGTGTGGAAGCACGCTAGAGGTGGCCACCAGGCTGGGTGAGCTCGAAAGCTCACCCATCTTGGCCTGCTAGGGCCATGGTGAAGCCCAGCCTGGTTTGAGCAGACCGGGCTTGATCAGGAATCCAGAGAAATTCTGGGTAGGGCGGGTAGAGGGTCCAAAACCTTAGCCCGAGCCCGGCCCTAGCCGGGCCTGTGTTTTAACATGCCACAAGGTTTTCTTTAAAAGTTAGCCCACAAGTTTCTTAAATTATTAGCTCACATGTTTTTTAAAAAAGTTTTGGCCTATATTTTATAAGTCTGCCCATGCCCAAAAAAGATTCAAAATTGGCCTAAAAAATTAAACATAAATTGGGCCAGTGGGCTAACTTAAAAAAAAAGAGGCCCAAAAAGAAAAAAAACAAACACATGCTATATTCTTATTTCTCATCCTATAATATTATTTAACTTTAATTCTAATTTCTCATTCTTATACTAATATTCTTCACCTTGTCTTTTTCTATTATTCCTTCAAGTCTCTTAAGCTACTAAATTCTAATATTCTCATTTTAATGGATCCTAACCTTTCTAACTTCACGATGAAAGGTGATGGTGCTAATAGAGTTGCTATATGTAACAAATGTGGGATAGGATTACAAGCTCCAACAAGTGGTCGCACGGGAAGTTTACGTACTGTTCATGTGGATAGGAAAAGAGCCAAAAGGCCACGATTCACTTTGAGATATTTATTTTATGTAAAGAAAAAAGTTCCAGAAAAGTGTTATTGAAAATGGAAGGTCAAAGAAAAAGGAGAAGCAGATACAGAATTATCTCTACTCTAAGTTGAAGAAAATCATGGAATCATTTTGTATTTTTTATTTTCTTAATCTAGCATAGTTTGATTAGTTTCATTTTAGTGTATACTCTTTGTTCTAGCAACATGCAACACAAATTGTTAATGAAATTTATTTTGTTTTGTCAATATTTTGGTATATTCTATATAAAATTTTATTTTTTTAAAGAAAAAAAAACTGGTTTTGGCCCTGCCCGGCCCATAGCCTGGCGTGCCGGGCCAACAGCTTGGTTTGGGCAGCTCCCAAAACCAAACCCCTGGGCTCAAGACTGGTCCGGATTAACAAGGCCAGCCCGTCCAAGCCTGATCATGGTGGGTTTGGACCGGGTTTAGCCCGAACACGGCCCTTGCCTGGGTCTATAGTGCGTGTGTGGCCGCGTGCCCTTGTGCTCGTGTGTAGGTTGTGTGATTTTCGTGGATGCCTGTGCTCAAGTGATTTAGAGTAGAAAGTACTCCTTAAACATAGTATGAAACATACTTACGCATATGCTAACTGTTGAATTTTTTTAACATTTATTTATTTTATCATTAACTTATTACTAATTTTCTTGTTCTTAGGTTATATTTAGATCAGTTATGTTCAGACCATTTGTTGGGGAGATTCTTACAGGAAAGATTGAGGAATCTGGCGCTAATGGTTTGCGTTGTAAGTTAAGGCATTTTTTCTTTAATGATAAAACATTTACGATGTATTTGCCTCAATACCTTCTTCTCTGTCGAAAAATAATGGCATATTAGAATAATAGCATATTATAATGGTGACCTGCCTTTTCTCATAAAACAGTTGATGGTTTGTCTAAACCGTAGTTTGGTCAGTTGTATGTTGATTGTCTTCTGGAGTACAGATATATAGCAAACTAATTTGACTAACCAAAGACAGCGGTATTGCCACCTTAATCTTTCAAACTGCTTGAGCTCAGCATCAAAATGTCTTTCTCATTGATGTAATCTCAATGTTCTTGGATTCTAATCCTTTGCTGCGTACCTCACCGGGTTTGGAGTTATCTGCATCTATTTTGACAGTTCAGATTTTCAACAAGGCTCATATCATTTTCCTGCTTTCCCTTATCGAGAATCTGAATTGTTGATTCCTTCACGAGTTTGATGGGGATGTTAATTATAGTGCTTTTCTTTCTTCTAAAATTTCTCATATACAGAGGGCTCTGATCTATAACTCTATAACACCATTACATCCTTTCACTATATAACAATAATTGTATTAGTTTGCATACCAGTTGTACATGTCTATTATTCCCAGATATACCTTGTTACCCATGTCTGCTACATGTGTTCATAATATGAATTTGAGGAGGATATTAAACATAATGCTGTTCTTTTTTTATTATTATAAATTTTCTCATATACAGAGGCCTCTGGTGTATGATTCTGCATACTATTACTTCCTTTCACTATATAGACAGTAGTTGTATTAGCTTGTGTACTAGTTTTACATGTTTATTATTCCCGGAGACACCTTTTAACCATTGATATCTGCTACATGTGTTTATATTATTAATTGGATGCTGACTCGTGTGGCAGTGTCTCTTGGATTCTTCAATGACATATATGTTCCTGTGCACCTGTTGCAGCATCCGTGCCAGCTGTAAGGATCTTTTATTCTTCATCAGTTAATCCTATCTTTTCGTTCTGCTATACACACACATACATACATATATACACATACATACATACATATACGTATGTGTGTGTGGGTCCATATATATATGTGTGTGCGCGCGCGCGCGCGCGTGTACATACACACATGTATATGTGTGTGTCCCTATGAATATTTTTTTAATAGGGGAAATTTTTAAAAAATACCTATTTTGCTAAATAATTAGCAAAACCGGCAATTTTGCTAATTATTTAGCAAAATCGATATCTTTTTGGCCAACGGGTTACAAAGAGGTCGATTTTAAAAAACGCGCTAATCAGAAAACCCACGGGACTAGTAGTCCCGTGGGTTTAAGTCTCAACCTCACTTATCCTCACAATTCCTTCAGCGTCTCCTTATATGTCCCGCCCATATTCCCCGTTCATCAGCCACCCCAACAATGTCGGCACCAACGGCCGCCACCAACCACCACCAACCATTGCTCCCCTCCTGCTATATGTTGCACGCACGCCGCCCTACCTACACTTGCGTGCAGCAACAACTCCCTCCCCGCACCGAAACAACCACGAATGCCGATCATCTGCCAAACCCGCTATCCTCCTCCAGTCCGCAACACCCCCACAGCAGTCCATCTTTCTTAGCGCGCACGCCCATAATAAGCCCCCATCGCCCCGGACACCAAAGCACCGTTGACGGCTGCGGGCGACGTCGTCAACGGGCAAGTGCTCTCCTCCATGCCTGCCAGCTCCCCGTCGCGCACCACGTCGCCGCCCTTGAGTCGCTCCTCGCGCCCGCCACCTGCCGCCTCCACCCGCGAAACAACAGTGGCGGTCCCTTCGCAGAGACCGCGGGCGACCATGTTCACGACCCTCGCGAATGGGCTGTGTAAGGAGGGGAGGGTCGAGGAGGTGATTAGGAGGAGATGAGGAGGGTTTGGGAGGAGATGAGGAGGGATAAGGTTCAGTCGGATGTGATGGCGTACGCTACGATTGTGTCGGGGCTTTGTAAGAATGGTAATGTAGAGAAGGGGGTGGAGTTGTTTAGGGAGATGATGAAGAATGTGATTGTGAGGTTGAAGAACTAAACCCACGAGACAAGTAGTCCCGTAGGTTTTTCGATTTAGAATTAGTGGGTACTTAGTGTCCACTAAACATACGGGACTCCTGTATGTTCTGAGCTGGACATTTTTTAAAATCGACCTCTTTTTGACCAGTTGGCCAAAAAGAGGTCGATTTTGCTAAATAATTAGCAAATTGGTCGATTTTGCTAATTATTTAGCAAAATCGGTCTTTTTTAAAAAATTCCCCTTTTTAATATCATGCACATAGCATATTCATAAAGAGTTTTCTATGGGAATCATGTGTATATAGGGGACATACAGAGATATTTAACAAATATCGGGGAGTCACAGCGCATAATATGATTCGGTATGTTTTGCAAATTTTTTTGCAAAAGAATTTGGTCTCATATGAGCCATAATTCTTCTTTCTAGTTATTTACATACGTAGATATTGTGGACCTCAATTGAACCATAAATCAAAGGCCAAATCGTGATATATTGTCACCCAATCTATTGGGAAAATCGTGATATGTTGTCCAAAAATTGCCAAAATCAGCAAAGGACATATCCAACAATATATCGGCCATGTCGGGGATATTTAACACATCACATACATATAAAAACTTCATCAAATACGTATTGGTGTTTTATTTCAATTCAATTTTCGTAATGCATGTTTTGCTGGGTATCAACCTGGGTGGCTTGACTACCACCTTGAGGTCTCTCTACTGTATGAAGGTGAAGTTTAAGAAGCTCTCTGAAGCTCGCTTTGATGCTCCTTAAATTGCAGGCCTTCGGGCACTTTGCTTACCCTGTTCTATAGAAAAGCTTACATTTGGTACACTTCGTTTAACCCACTTTTTCCTCATCTCTGAGAATAATTAAGAAGGATCTTTACTGATTGTTGCCAAAGTCTAAGCCAACTCCTGGTAACTCTTTTGGCAATTAAATTTCATTAGTTGTGGTTTATATTTATGTTGTTCATATTGAAGTTTATGTTATTTCCTATTCCTCCAATCATCAGAAACAACAAGTACAACACTAATTCTATCATCGGGATCCATATTTTCATTTGTTTTATCAAGGGCATTGTATATATAAAGTTTTCAGTTTCTTTATGTATCTTTTATATGTTAGTAAATGTGGTCTATTGAACTTAGTGGAAGTAAGGACCGAGAAGGGTATGATAGTAATTAAATTAATGAAGAGATAGGCATGCCAGAACTGCATGGGAGGATAGAATTCATGTAGCTGACCCCAAATTTTGGGATAAAGGATTTGTTGTTGTTGTAGACTGTAGTAAATAGGGCCAATACTGACACTGGAGAGAGGTTGATGATGTGGCAGCCTCCGGTAGCCTCCTCTTCCCCTTAATATGTTATTATGTAGAATGAAAATTCTTGAAGCTCGCCTTTTGAAGCTTATGTTTCGCTTTGATCAAGTATCAAGAGTTTTCTCTTTATGCTCTCCCTTTTAAATATTGGTCCAAAGATATGGTGAGGGTTTCTGACTTCTGAGTTATATTTTTATATTCTAATTGTTAGTTTGATGTTGACAACAGGGGACCAGATGACATATGGACATGGACATACGACTCCTCAGAACTCCCATTGGATCTTGAAGAGAAGGTTTTCATAGTTATTTCTGATTTTCCTGTATGAAGAGTAATAGATGACCAAACATATCTTTGTAATTTGTTTTTCTTGCAGATAAGGTTTCGAATAAAAAGTATTAAATACCCGCCTCTCCCGATTGAACAGGATGCTGATGCAAAGCCTTTCGCTCCGATGGAGATTACTGTAAGTTGCTAGAACTCAAATACGCGTTATATGAATGATTTGTGTAGTGGGGCTTTAATCTGCCGTCATTTTTATTATTAGTGTGCTATTCTTCATGGATTCAAGGGGATGTAATAGATTGTTTTTACTTAAATTGCTTTGTTCTTGTTTGGCAGGCGGAAATCTGTGCAGATGGATTAGGCCTGGTTTCTTGGTGGGAAGAATAGTTGAACATAATTGAGCTATAATTGAACAAACAAGTGAAGATAAAAGAGAGTTATGTGTTCATGTAACTGGATCACGTGCATTTTACTTGTATGTTTGTCAAATTTATAAGTCCAAAGGACTCCGTTTCTTTTGCTACTTTCAGTTACTAGGTGTGAATTATATGTGTTTTTATTTGTACTTTTCTATAAAACTTGAACTTTTGGCTTTAAACAAGGAACACGTTAGCAAGCCTAAGAGCATCTCCAACAGCTTCTTCATCTTCTTGAAATACTCAAATTTGAAGAATATAGAGCTTTTTTTTTGTCCAACAGATTCCCCATCTCATTCCCCAAAATAGGGAAGAAGGAGAAAAAATAGGGAGTCTTCCCCAAATCTGCAGCATTCTCCAAATTTTTGGGGAGAGCTTTATTATTGTAATAAATGCGATTTTTAAAAATGGGGAAGCTGTTGGAGTTGGAGCAAAAATAATTTGGAGAATATGACTTTTGTTTCTCCATTTTGGAGAAAATTTTGGGGAAGCTATTGGAGATGCTCTAAATGGATCATGAGGCCACGATGGGTCGCTTTTCTGAGATTAATGATGGTTTTCCACATGAAACGCGCCAGAGTTTTGTTGTTTTATTTGTCTATATCTATGGGTATTTTGAATATGAGCTGTCCATCTCCTTTGCAAATGAGAGGTTCAGAGGTAGTTTAGTCGGCGTTTGTCTAATTTTGGAAATTATTCTATGGACTAATGGCTTACGGTTTTCTCGCTTCTTTCTGAATTATAATTTTTGGCTATGTTTGTCGATTTTCTCTATGGGCTAACGGTTCACTGGTTTGTTGCTTATTCCAGTTACCAGGTGCAAATTATGTATGTTTGTTTTATACTTCTCTAAAACGTTTTAACTTTTGGCACTAAACAAGAAAAATATTAGCTAGCTTGTGATTGAACGTAGCTCATGGCATCCAAAAGTCGTGATCTCGATCCCCGAAGCCACCACACGTCGCAATCTCCGAAGTTAATTAGAAGTTTCTCCTCATGAAATAATGCTGGATTATCTTGTTCTCGGTCGCGTAGTTTTGCAAAATGAACAACCAAGAGAAGCTGGCGGATTAGATCCGCAACGTATCAAATTTCATTCCTGTAGCTCTCTTGGCCAGCCTGCTGATGCTTGACGTTTTATTTGCGCACTCTCAATGTTTATGCCATAGTTGATGTTGATTCGTGATGCTAATAATACAACTGAGTACAGAATTCTACAACCGAAGGAGCCCTCAGGATAGCCGCTATTTTGAATGAGAGTTTCTAATAACTAGTTCAAACACAAATCTATCTAGGGGTCAGAAACAAATCAACAGATAATTTTTCGGGGTAGCATTCTGGAAGGAGAAAAACAAAAAGAAAAAGAAAAAGAAAAAGAAAAAGAAAAACGAATCAGCAGAAGAAATACTGTACATGTAACTGCCGAATTAATGTTTCTAATTGACCTAATGCATTTTCATGTACAACTGGAAGTAACTTACAACATACAAAAGACCTGAGCATGCCCACCCTCCGAAATGAATATACAGTACCGACAGTTGATCATCATGATCTTCACCCATGTAAAGTTACATTTCCTACCGAGGGGGTGGGGGGAGCTCTGTCGATATGGGCAAGCACGCAAAGCACGCAACTTATTGCAGCTTCTAACTGAGAAAAATTGCAGCTACTGTGATGCAGGTTATAACAGTACAGAGCAGCGCCTGCAGAAATTAATTGACCGAGAAATGAGCATATAGACAAGCGAGGCGATGAAACATAAACAACTATGAAGTAATGAGAGAAAGTTCAAAGACAGAAAGGTTAATTGCAAGATACACCCCCTATACTCTCGCCCGCTTGCAGATAGACCCCCTGAGTGTTATTTATTTATTTTTTTCTGAGTCGAAATTTGTTTTCAATTTATTATTATAAATAGACCTCCTAAGGGTATGACCTTCAAACAAATTCTCTTAGGGGTTCTATCTGCAACAACAAAACTGTTGGGGGTCTATCCGCAATTAGGAAGTAGCATAGACGTCTACCACGATTAACCCAAGAAAAAGTGGCAACAAAAACTCCTCCTTGGTTGTGGTCAAAGGTAAAACAAGTAGATCCACTCATCTCCAAAAAAGATAAATAAATAAATAAATAAAGAGAAAGAAAAAAACCACCACAACAAAGAGCTTATTCCAAAAATTTTGGGTTGGCAGTATTAAGTTATATTCTTCCATTCATTTCTATTAAGGTTATCTTCCGCGCTAAGTTAAATTTTATCACATTTTTGTAATTACTTCCAAGCAAGTTCTCTGAGGCCTACCTCTCATCCTCCTTGCCCCATTAACTAGAATCTTACCACTGCTCCTAATTGACGGTCCCCCTTACAAATGATCAAACTATCATCAATTCTCTCATTTTGTCCTCAACAGGATCAAAGTCTACCTCCTATAAATGTACTAAATTTCTTATTATTTCCTATCCTATGAATGCTTACACATAGTTTGCTGACCGCATTTCCAATTCTTGTGAGTTGATATCATGCCTTACTTTATAATTATATAGCGATTAACCTCTACATCCAATGGCTAAAATGTAGCAGAGACAACCTCAATACAGACTAACCCTGTATACATTTTCAGTTATTAACTGAGCCCGACTCCTAAGCTTTACATGCTGCAATGCTACACTTGTAGGTGCACTTGTAATGCTGGGTTCAACATTTTAATGTGTCACCGAGTCTCTAATCCATATCCCCAAAAAATAGGAATTTTGCTTTCAACAAAAACACTTCCTTAATAAACAGTTCAATTTCCCCACACATAGTTTTGCAGGAACAGGAGATAATTGGCCTTGTCACAGAATAGTATCATTAAAGTTTTATTACCACTTTACAATTAATTGAACACCTTGTGCTGAGTTTTTCTACAGATCAACACCCTAGTGTTTTTAATCCAAACGTCTCTATCCTTCAATAAAAAAAATTCCTAGAGATCAGTACCCTACTGTTTTTAATGGTAGGGCATATAGTTCTGGATGAACATCCAAAGAAGCATAAGTCATATCAAAATTTTCAATTTTGAAAAAAGGACAAAATGGGCAAAGTCATATGTTCTACAAAGCAGCACTAAAATAGATTTGGGGGCAGGAGTGGGAAATCAAAGGATGGATGAATAAAACATGACGCTCGGATGCAATGCATTATTTATAAATCTCTCATATCAATAAAATCTATGTAGCTAAAAGCTAAAACATATGAACCAGCTAGACTTCAGTTTTTTACGTAAAAAACTCAAATCAATTTTTTTTTTCAATTAAAAAGGGTAATTTGGTGAATGGTAACCCCTTGTCTTACTGCCACATATACAATATGAAAACTACGAGGTAATTATCTATTGAAAAAAAACTGTACAAGGTACTTATTTGTAGTACAAGTTAAGGTTTAAGTGTTGTTCAGTAATTACACTCAGAAACCTTTAGATATGAAAATTTTCTATTTTTGGACCAAAAAACCACATCTTGTGTCAACAATTTACATATCCAAACTAACCACTTTCACATGTTTTAGATGATTTTCCTAATTATACACACGAGGCTTTGTGTGGGATTTTTAACCTTATGTATTTGCCACACGAAGAATGTCAACTCGTAGTCTCATACAGTACGGAATGTTGAATTGGTAAAAAAAATACACATATGATTTGATCGTTTTCTATCTAACCAACAAAAGCAATTTTGCATACCAAGTGCAATCTAACATGAAGGATGCTTGATACAAATCGTGATATTATTTGATATCTGGTTTAACTTGCGCATGCGTTCGGAGAAAGCGTCCAGTGGTCGTGGTCTTTTACATTAATGGTGTATCAAAAAGACGTCGGCCGTTGGATTAGTGGACTTGGGGACTTGTTCACACGGATCCAACGATTGATCCCTTTGATGTATTATTAATGCAATGGATTGAGACCATCAGGATTCCCTATCCACCAACTTTTTATATGTTGATTATGTTTTGAGATTAGTTCTGTGAGATTTATGCCTTGATGTGCATCACATGCAAGCATGAGTCTCAAAGCAAAATCAGTGTATAAAAAATTGGTACCAAAGCTCCTACCAACTCAAGTTTAT